TAACCAAAGGGGAACTGGCTAAGAACATGAAAGTGGAAACAACTTGGCTGACAAAAGGCATAAAAAGGTAACTCTCACAATTCTTCAGAAGGGCAAAACAGAGAACCACAAAATAAAGAAAATTAACAGTAAAACCACAAGCTATCTGAAACCCCAGAGAAAGATGTGAAGCTTACTGACAAATCATCATAGCTAAGTATAGGTTCTTTAATAATTTGAAATTCAAGAGATTTTGCACAAGTGCAAATCAAATCACTGAAAGTCCCTTTAGTAAGCATACAGCACAGTTCACAAAATAGGAAAGGTCAAAGCACCAGTAATGAAACTACCGGCAGGCAATATCAAAGGTAACATAAAAATATTCCTTCACAATGTCTGCTGTGAAAGAGCAGTTAAAGTAGGAGTGCATTAACTCACTGTTCAACGGGAAAGAAAATCTCTAATAGATTACGCCAAAGCACTTGTGGCATTTTCTGCATTGATCTTCATTCACTAAAACGGATTAACTGGCTAATGTAACTCACATCACAGCAAAAGGAGCAAGAACACAAGCCAGAACTGGGAAATGCATTAGAGCAACTGCTCCAAAACTCCCAAGACAACAAAGTCAGGGCTCTGAAATTTCCCATACATGTTTATCAGCAAGCTTTAAACAGAAAGCATGATAAAGGCAATATGCTTCTGCAGACAAGAAGCTTCCATAAACCTATGGACTATATGCAGGTGTTACAGTAAAGAGAGAGTACTTCAAGTTTTTCCAAATCTGATAGACATAATATTTACCCTCTGAAAACTGACAAAGGCAGTTATCAAAGACCATCTCTCCTCTCTGCATAAAGTTTCAATAGTGTGAAGAAGGGCAAAAGCACCTGCACAGAAGAAAGGAACCAAATACACAGTGAAACACAGACCAGTCAGGGATACCATCAGTCCCTGGGAAGATGCTGAAACAAATAACCAGACAACTTATCTCCTGCATATTTCAGATAACAAAGCAGATAAGATCCCACACATAAATCATATCAAAAGAATATAATTTCTTCCAATGACACAGTAACCATGTAGGTAGCAAAAGAGCAACTAGAGGCAGTATAGTTTTGGTTTAACTGGACTCTTGACAGTCTTAAATTGACAGTCATATAATCTAAACAAATACATACTGAAGTACTGAGAGATTATTAGAAACCCAAACCTTGAGAAAACTTAGCTCTTTTTTCAGTCAGAGAGAAAATAGGTAGCAAGGCCATTCACATGGCTATAACCTTTTAGCACTCCCCACTATTACAAAAAGTAACTTGGGGGAGGGGAGGGGGGAAAGGAGAGGCCATTTACTGCAAGCAACTCCATGTTTTGCTCTTCCTCAGCTTGATTTCTTATAGCCACAAGCAGTAACTTCAAAAATCTCTTGGAAAACATCTTCTCCATAAATTATCCATTGGAAAATATCAAGACAGAAAAGTCTTTTTCTTCAGTTAGCAGAGGATAACCTGGAACAGTTGCAATCACTTGGACGGAAGGACTTAGAACTCAAAGCGACTTGAAGCAAGTGCAAAAGTCACCTGAAGCAGTATGCAGTCTGACAGAGCAAAACAGTAAGAATAATCAGCCATGTAAGAGCACAGCGAAGGCAAATATAAACACTGTTCTGCCCAGAAATATACTGAGCGGTAAAGTGCTAAAGAATCCAGTGTTTATGCTAAACATAAACCACATATATCACACAGGCAAAAAAAATAAAAAATCCTTAAAGACTCATTGTCCTACTGAGATGTATGAAATGCAGATATCATATGAAAAGCATATGAAATAACTTTTACTCTGCCTCTTGTACTAATGACTAGGAACACTCTGTCCAGTTCCAGTGCTCCAGAAAAATGCAAACCAAGTGGAAAAAAACTCAAGAAGATCAATGAGAACAGCCCACAAATGTAAAAAAATAAGAAATAAAAATCACTCAAGAGACTGAAAGAACAAGATTTCTTAAGTGTTGAAAACACCAAAGAGAAAGCCCCCAAAACATGTGACACATTTCTGCAGAAAACATGTAATAAAAAGTTCACAAGGTGTGCAAAACACATAAGAATTCCTAAATGCTTAAATTAACAAAATAAATTTAGATTAGAAATTAGGATTTTTAATGGCAATAACAGCAAATTACTCAAACAGGTTGCCTAGGAAGGGTAAATCTAACTGAAGTTTCTGATGGAGCTCTTCTGCTTTGAGAACTAAATATTCCTTCCTTACGCCTGAAACGCAGTGAATTTATGAAAGAACAAATGTCAATTACCTCCACTTTTCCCCTCATACTTCATTCACAGGTGCCTCATCTGAGCTTCCAGCTTCTAGATTATTTATTACGAGAATTTATTGACCACTACAAATAAATTACTTCCAGCATGAAGGGTATGTAACATCATATGGAAGCAATAATAAAAACACAACCTTAAAGGAGGTATTGCACGGATATTACAGAGTAAAAGTGACCCACTAGAACTGCATCAAGATGGAGAACCCTTAATCACAACAAAACCAAAGAAATCCAGTGAGCTTACTTACATAGTGACTTCAGCTTTACCCATACATGTATGACTTAAAGCAGCAATGCTCAGCTGCACAGACACCCTTTGCTGGGAAGGTAGAGGGACTAAGGAGACCTTGCTGTGTCCAGGTAAAGTCAGTCTGGGTGGGACTTTCTGGTAGCTCTTTCCCAGCAAGCACCCTGCAGAGACACTAGCTGCCTCAACCCAGGGCTACATGGATCCGCACTAGCAATTTGGTATTGGATAAAACATTTGCCAAATGCAGAAGTGAAAACAACAAGAGCTGGGGCAAGCAGAGACAAGTCTTCGTGCAGCTGAGAAGACACAAAGAAATCAAGACAAAGATATCAACTCCAAATATTGTGTCAGCAGTTGGACCCAGTACAGCACAAAACATGACTTATTTTCTCAAGCAACGCTCAGCTACAAAAAAACCCAACAAACACTGAGAACCAAAGCAGGAGAGCAAACTGAAACATGCTGTCCTCTGCTGGAAGTGGCTCTAGAGGAGCTTGAAAGCAGATCATCAAGACCACTACCGCTTTGATCTTCACTGGAATACAAGATAAAGGCATCATTTTAAAGCTGCACAACCTTGTCTAAAAGCTTCTGAACTCCAGCTAAAGCTGCTCTTCCATGCAGCCAGCATCACTGTCACCAAAGGAGCACTCCTGACGCTGCCCTCTCCTACACCACCACTACCAGGAAACCATCTGGACTCTCCCACACACCTTCACTCATGGCAGCAGAAGTGCTTGTGTGGCTGTAGAGAACAGGACCAAATGAAAACTAATGCTTTTTTCTAAGAAAATTGCATAAATCCTTTGTTGCAATCCAGTTCACCTGCAACACTTATGTCAACTTCAGTAAAGCTTTCAGGATGCATCTTTTGTGTGTAATTCATGCGTAGTTTAAAAATATAAACAGCTACTGCAGTAGGAGTCTTCTACTGCACATATCTAGAAAAAACTTAAGAGCAGATCCTTTAAAACTTCCACACCAACTAAAGAAAATGTCCAGATGTGAAAGTGAGAGTTCAAACTATGTGTGACTTACATCAGCTATAGCCTGTGGTGGGAATTATCTAAGCATTCATTTTGGGGGAAAGAGAAAAAAAGTTATGACTCTCGTTGCAAAAAAAAAAAAAAAAAAAAAAAAAAAAAACAACAACAAACTGAATGAGTAAACAGCACCATCAGCACAGGTTCACAGGGGGATTTTCCAAACATTTAAACCAGCTTCAAGCCTTCAGACAAAGCATAACCCATCAGAATTCACATGCCAGAAAAATGGACAAACACCCTCTATTTTCTTCCTCCTTAATTACCCAAACACAGTATTAGATACAAACAAGAAGTTTTTACACTGATGAGAAAAATATTTTTCTCTGCGTTTCCCACTTCATAGTCGAACCCCACACGCCTTCCGGACAGGAGCCGAGTACTATGTGTTGCCCTCCCCCTTAGCATTTAACTAGAGATGCAGCCGAAAACAACGCTTCAGAGCCACCCACATCGCGATCCGGCCTCCGGCCAGAAGCTCAACCGCTGGCCACGGCGCTCCCGCATGGAGAGACAACCGGGGGCCCGGGCCGCCGCGCAACCGCCCCGCTGGGCTGGGGTCACCCCCACCCCCAGACCGGGCTGGGGAGCAGCCGTTCCCAGGCCCTGCCGCCCGGCACCACCCCCGTGCCCAGGCCGGGAAGCCTTTCCCCTCTTCCCTCACCACGTCCATTTCCCTCCGGCCCCCCCAGGACTGGACGGCGGCCCCACTCACAGCGTGTGTCCGCAGACGTTCACCATCAGCTTCAAGGAGGGGTTGCGGTACTTGGTGGTCTTGCACCGCGGGCAGCCCAGGTCATCCATATCCATAGCCATGGCTGCAGCAGCCTCCCTCTGCCTCCCCCCCGCCTCCTCCATCCGGGCCTTCCGCCTTCCGCCGCGCCGTGCCTCTGCCAAAGGGGCCCGCCGGCACAGCCCGCCGCCACGCTCGTTCCGCCTGCTGTGGTGCTCGGCCCGCCCCGCTCCGCACCCCTCCCGGCCACGACCACGGCCAGGCAGAGCCGGCCGGCGGCAGGGAGGGCCACAGCGGCTGGGCCAAGCAGGTACGAGCTGCACCAGGCAGTACCTGCCTGGCGTTGGGGGGGGAAGCGGTCTGTTCTGTCCCGAGAGCTCCGGCTGTAACTAGGGAGGGGCCCTCCCCCATAATGAATAATCAACAGAAGGCCGAGATGCCGTGCCTCACCCCGGGTGACCAACCGCCTTGCCCCTGCGAGTTTGGATTCTCCACACCCGAGGTTGGGCGGCTCAGGTGAGGGGACCCATGGCCACCGCCCGCCTCCCTTCGCCCGCGGGGCGTCCCTGCAGCGGGGCACCGCTCTCCAGGTGGAGGTGGGGAGGGGGCAGAGGAGCGGAGCCGCTTGATTGACGGTTGCCCTGGAGACGCGACAGCCTCCGCCCCCCCGGCGCAGCGCAGCCAATGGCCGGGCGCGGCCGGGCCAGCAGGCTGCGGTGCCATATAGTATTGCAGCGGGGCTGGGAGTCACGTTGGGGGGAGCTGCAGAGAGGAGCCCGTTTATACTACTTTGCTATAGCAGCTATCTTTAATGGTTATTGCGTGGCCAGGAGGAAACCTGATCGGCTAGAGCCGGCCGAGAGCAGGAGGAGGAGTGGACTTTACAGAGAGATAGGAAGGGGGGAGAAGGGGACGGGGGGAAGAAAAATAAAGTAAAAAAAAAAAAAAAAAAGAAAATCAAACCGAAGTATGTCTTCTGCCTCCCCCACGGACGAGATCACGAGCGCGGTGGAGATCAAGCAGGAAAATGTAATGGAAATCCTCTCTGAAGCCAGCAAGGTGTCCCCCGACGGGGCCGCGGCTGGAGCCCTCAACCCGGCGCCGCCGCCGCCCCCTCCCGCCGCGGCCCCATTCCCCATGGAGCACACGGGCTCAGCCGCCGCCGCGGAGGAGGGAACCACGGACCAGGTACTGCTCCACACGGAACTCCTGGCCAGGAATCACCACGCTGCCTCCTCTCCCTCTTCTTCTTCTTCCTCCTCCTCTTCGCAGACCCCCCTGGCTTTCTCCCCGGACCACGTCGCCTGCGTCTGTGAAGCGCTGCAGCAAGGGGGGAACCTGGACCGCCTGGCCAGGTTCTTATGGTCTTTGCCCCCGAGCGATCTGCTACGTGGCAACGAGAGCCTAATGAAAGCCCGGGCGCTGGTGGCTTTCCACCAGGGCATCTACGCCGAGCTCTACAGCATCCTGGAGAGCCACAACTTCGACTCCTCCAACCACCCGCTCCTTCAGGAGCTCTGGTACAAGGCTCGCTACACCGAGGCGGAGCGAGCCCGGGGCAGACCCCTGGGGGCGGTGGACAAGTACAGGCTGCGGAGGAAATACCCTCTGCCTAGGACGATTTGGGACGGCGAGGAGACCGTCTACTGCTTCAAGGAGAAGTCCCGCAACGCGCTGAAGGAGCTCTACAAGCAGAACCGGTACCCCTCGCCGGCCGAGAAGCGCAACCTGGCCAAGATCACCGGGCTGTCCCTCACACAGGTCAGCAACTGGTTCAAGAACCGCAGGCAGCGGGACCGCAACCCTTCCGAGACTCAGTCCAAAAGGTGAGGGCAAACTTTCCTCCCCGCCCCCTCTCCCGCCTGCCTTCCCTCTCCCGGCTCTTTCTTCCCTTGCAAACATGGCGCTTACCTTCAGTGCGCCTCGTCCTCCCCTCCTTCTTCCTCCCCGCTCACTCGCTCCCACACACCCACCCGGCCCGGGCACGCAGGCACGCGAGTCGCTCCGAGACAGCGCGGGGAAACTTCCCGGCCCCGCCGCCCTATTCACCGCCCCGCTCCTCATCCCTTCCGCTTGGCCCGGGAGCCCGCGGACACTGGCGGCGCGGCGGGCTCCGGGGACGGGACGGGAGGGGAGGGGGGAGTGTTTGTGTCCCCCCACTCCTTGTTTTTATTTAATTGTCGCGCCTGACAGAGTTAATCATTGACGCGGGCGCAGGACGCGCGGGGGTGTGGGGTCCCGCCGCTCGCTCTGTTTTGAAACCTGACTCGGGAGCGGGCCGGGCTCGGGTTTCAGCGGGGGAGCGGGGCGGCCGCGCCGGGCCTCAGCGGCGGCTCTGCTGATTTCGGCCCACCGCAGGCCTCTCTCTCCAGCCCCGCGGCCGTTCGCTCCCCGCGGGGCGGGAGAGCCTCCCCCGCCCGGCCCCGCTCCGCCCGCGCCCGGGGAGCCGCGCTCCCCCTCGTGTGTCCCTCCCCGCTGGCGGAGGGGCCGCGGCGGGGGCTCGGCGCCGCGAGGCAGGCAGGTGGAGGTGACCTCCTCGCTCCCGCCCCCCTCCTTCCTCCCGGGGCAGGGACGGGAAGGGAGGGGAGAGGCGAGGGGGGGGGGAGGAAGGGAGGAAAGGAGGGAAAAAAACGGCGGAGGGCCCCAAGGCATTTCTCAACCAAGGGCGCGATTGTGCCGCCGCGGCCCCCTCTCCGCGGGACACTTCAAAGGCGGAGCGCCGAGGGGGAGGGAGCGACCGAAAAATGCAGTGGAGGGCGGACCAGTCTGAAAACATCAACCCGGCGCAGCTCCGGGCTGAGGGGCTCGGCGGGGCCGGGGCGGCCCGCGGGGCGCGGCACAAAGGCCGCCCACCAGCACCAGCGGCCCCCAGCACAGCCCGAGGCGGCCGGGCCGGGATGGCGGGGGCCCGGGGTCGGGGGGCGCTTCCCGGCCTGCACGCTCTCACCTCCCGCTGGTGCCGCCCGGGGATTTACCAAATGGCTGCGGCCCTTCTCACACGTGTGGGCACGCTGGGCCGGTGGAGAGAGGCCCGAGGCAGCCACCTTCGGTCGCCCGGAGCGGATGGGGTGGGGGGAGAGATTTAGGGTTAACCCAGGCTGTAAAGTTTCTCTTAAGCGAAAGTTTGTTTTGCCCTTTTCTAAGAAACCTTCCCCTTGACTTGAAATTCGTTTAAAAGTGCCTTGCAAAGGCGAAACAAAAAAAAAAAAAACAAAAAAACCCACCTCTTTGGGAAAATTCTCATAAACTGTACCAAAGCAAGGAGCCCTCCTTGCTGCAGAGCTTGCTGGCGCGCCATGGTAATGCAATGTCATCTCTCCATCTTTTCCCATAGTGAGTCAGATGGCAACCCTAGCACAGAAGATGAATCCAGTAAGGGGCAGGAGGATTTATCTCCCCATCCACTCTCCAGCTCATCTGATGGTGTTACCAGCCTCAGCCTTCCTGGCCACATGGAGCCCGTCTACATGCAGCAGCTCGGAAACACTAAAATAGCCTTGAGCTCATCTGGTGTCTTGTTGAATGGAAACCTTGTGCCTGCCAGTACCTCTCCCGTCTTTCTCAATGGTAGCTCTTTTCTTCAGGGACCCAATGGTGTCATTCTCAATGGACTCAGCGTGGGGGCTTCGCAGACTGTTACCTTAAATTCGCCCAAAACCACATCAAGTGTTGTGAGCAACGGGGTATCCATTACTGATATACTGTCATCTTCATCAGAGGATGTTAAGGACTTCAAACTCCTTCAAGCTTCGGTCCCCAGTGCCACAGCAGCCACCTTCAGCCCCAGCAACATCCCAGTCTCATTCCCGGGATTGATACCAAGCTCAGAGGTGAAAAGGGAAAGCGTACAAACTGCTGCTTCACAAGATGGAGGCTCTGTAGTTACTTTTACTGCTCCTGTCCAAATAAACCAGTATGGCATTGTCCAGATCCCCAATTCAGGAACAAATGGCCAGCTGCTGAATGGAAGCATTGGTTTTTCTTCTCTGCAGCTGCCTCCTGTTTCTGTGGCAGCTTCACAAGGTAAAAGTTTTGTCTCTTACAGTAAAAGGTATCAGAACAAGTTGGAATCAGGCACAGTTAGCATTTTAGAAGCTGTGGTACGCTTCGTCCAAGGTACTAGGATTAAATCTCAACAATGGCTACACACAGTACATCAAAAGATACCTTTTGACTTCCTTTATAGTGGGTTAGGCTTATGAGCAGACTGGGACATGAGGCTGAGCTCCTCTTGGGAGAGCAGAGAAGGAGGTCTGGTAATTTACACCCCTTTCATCTCGTGCTGTTCTCAGAAGTCTGTGATACCAGTCTTCACAAATATCTGTAAATTTTACACGTTTCAGTAATTCAAAATATTTCCCATTTGCCACTGATTTCTTTTAATGAGAAGGCTCACAAAAATGAAAAATGCAGCAGCTGGAAATTGTTACCATCATTGTTTTTCTGGTGGTTGTTTTGGATTTTTAGTTTGTTTTCTTGTTTTGTTTTTGGTTGGGATTTTTTTTTTTGTTGTTTTTTTTTAACCAAAACATTTCATAAAAGCAAATTTTCAATGACTGTAGACACAACATGACCAAACAGTTATGCTGGTACATTTTCTGTCCTCTAATTAAGGAAGATTAAACTGCAGGGAAACAACAGAAATAAGCAATAGCTCGTAGATACGAAGTATGAGGGTATTTGGATAGAACTGCTTTCAGTCCAAGGGAAATATGTCATCGCAGGTTCATGTGCCAAGTGTGCAGGCTCCTCCCCAAGTTTTCTTTAGAGTTTGTCTTAACATATCATAGACTGAAACTTGTAGCCAGCCAGGAAGAATTCCAGGGAGCAGAAGCCTAGTTCTTGGATCCTTGTTTTGAAGAAGGTTATAAAGCACAACCAAACAGCTTTATTACTTATTACCCACAATATCTTTGGTTATGAAAATGATTAAACTTCTATGAATCTCTCTACTTTCAGGAGCTGTGAGTACTATAATGAAAATGAAACTGTGCTCACATTAGCTTATTTGAATTAAATGTGTACAGAGAGCCAGTGATTCTTGCTGTGATATGGGAAGGAACACTAAAGGTGTACAAACACATTTTAAATGGATGCACAATTATTAGATCCTACAATGTGACACACACGGTCACTGGAAGTTACTGGTACATAGTTAACCAGGATGGAAAAAAGAAGATATTTAGTCTGAAATTTAATCCACATGTTCCAAGGCATAAATTGACAGCCAGCAAAGGTGAGAAAGTAAGTTCTGTCCCTTAAATAATGGGGAAATAGTGTTTGAAAGTCATAAAATTCATAGTAAGATCCTCTCTGAATATTTTCCTCACTGTTAAAAATAACCAATACCCACTGGAGAATGATCCACCATGCATCTAGTCTGGTGCAGAGAAAAGTCAAGACTCATATTTGCTGCTTTGATTTCTTTTTGGTTTTCTTAATATGAGATGGATAGCTGGCTGTTTAGTCCAAGTCCAGTGTGCTGCAGGGTATTTTTAAGTGTACAATAAATGATATAACCAGGTACCTTCAAATTGCCTCACTTCTACTCTGGTTTACACAAATCGTATCTTCCAAAAAATCATCATTGATTACCATAAATTAATAGGGAGTTAAAATATTTCACAGGGAAGAAATTTATCTTCAGTACTGTTCTAAAAACTTTAGGTGTCTCCAACTGTAGCTTTTTAAAATAAGCTGCTTTTGTGAGGGGGAGATGTTTGGACTGGGACAGAGTGCCAAGAGCCAGTATGTCTTATTTTTGGAATTATTATAATGGCAACTTAGATGGCATGTCCAGTAAAACCAGCTTTGGGTCATCTCTGGCCTCCTCTTCTTGCTTTGGCTAGCTACAGCATCACACAGGCAGTGCTGTGGCTTTCAAAAATGGTAGGCAGTTGCTCTGTGATTTTTACACAGCGTGATGGATGTGGTAGGGTTAGGCTTTTAGAAATACATGATAAAGTGAGATGAAAGGCAAAACCCCAGAGTGCTTGGTGGACTGCCTCGTTAGCCGGATAGAAGTCACTGGGTTTTGTTGTTTTCTCTACAGGTTGGCTCAGGTAGGTTCTGCCCAGCAATAGTGGATTTCACGTGATGTGCCTCAAGTTCCCACACACAAGCTGTAGTCTGTCACTGAACTATCTTTAATAGCCTTTCATGCTTCTATTTTTAGATAGAAATTGAGTGGTGGCAACTAGTGAAGGCCAAAGCACGTTCATTTTAATCACATGGTTGAGGACTGTTTGCCCCTTAATGAGAGCCTGAAAGATAGCTAATATACCAGAACCCTTTCTTTTTTTTTTTTTTTATTTCTTTCTAAAATCAGTTTCTAGTAACAGTTTTTATTTCTTCGTACCAGATTTTCTCTCACCTGTTACAGACAACACGATTCTGTGCTGCGTGGTATAATAGTATATGTATATCCTGCAAACAAAAAAAGACAGAAATGTCTTAACAAAATGTCTCCACAACTGTCTGCAAACTATAATCTGTGTTTTCCTTTCTTTTGCTTCCTTCTTCTAGGTAATGTTTCAGTAAGTCCCAGCACATCTGATGGGGGAACTTTTACGACTGAATCTTCAACAGTGCAGCAAGGAAAGGTTTTCTTCAGTCCCCTCACTCCAAGCGCAGTTGTTTATACAGTTCCCAATTCAGGCCAGGCAGTAGGCTCTGTCAAGCAAGAAGGACTGGAAAGAAGCCTTGTGTTTTCTCAGTTGATGCCAGTCAGTCAGAGCACGCAACTAAATGTAAACATGTCTTCTGAAAATATATCCAGCGGAGGACTCCAGTCCCTGGCCTCCTCATTAGTGAATGTAACACCTTCACATAATTTTTCCCTCACACCACCTACCCTTTTAAATGCTGCAGAACTGAACTCTGGTATCTCGGAGAGCCAGTCCATGTCATCACCTGTGACCAGTACCTCTACAGTGATATCTATCAGCAACACTAACTATGCAACCCTTCAGAACTGTTCCCTCATTACCAGTCAAGACTTGTTGTCCATTTCTACAGCACAGCCCACGATTGGAGAAATAGTTTCTACAAGTGAAGACAGTGTCAGCCATCCCTCTGCACAAGTACATCAAGATTTTGTCAGAGAGCAAAGGTTAGTTCTGCAAGCTATACCTGGCGTCAAAGAGAATTTCTTACCTAATGCTGAGAGTAAGTCAACTGGCAATTTAATGATGCTGGATTCAAAATCCAAATACGTTATGAGTAACATCGTTGACACAGTTTGTGAAGAACTGGAAACGGACAAAAAAGAACTTGCCAAACTGCAGACAGTTCAGATGGATGAAGATATGCAAGACTTGTAACATTTTTTCCCCTGCTTTCTGTCTTCAATGGATAAGTCTCCTGTTGAGGCCCTAACGAACACCAAGTGGGGTTCTTTTTTTGTTGGTTTTTTTTTTGTTGTTGTTTGGTGGTTGGGGTTTTTTTCATTTAAAGAAAACAGGAACATTTAAGTGATCTGCATCAATGTACAGAGGAATCTCCAGTGATGGAATTAGGTTGCCGCACTTGGTTTGCATGCAGTGTTCTCTTTTGAGCAGATTAAAGGAGAAAGAAAATGCCAGAGAAAGTACTGAATGAATGGGGACAGGTTTGACTACAAGATACTACCCTGATAATTTAACTAAACTCTCCATAGTACAACATACTCTCAACAGTAAGTATACACTCCTGACGTTAGACAGAAAACACAAATCTCGCTCCAAAAAGGTAGAAATAATGCAGTCATTTTTGCTGTTTACTTCTAGTTCATGGGCATTGAGAAATTTCTAAGGAACTCTTAAGACGATACCTTACTGGGTTTTATGTTGTTTGAGGTTAAGAAGTGAAACAAAATCATCAATAATATTGTTACTGGTGTGTTTGCTTTTTCCCAGAAGACTTGCGTTCAAACCAAAAATCTTGCATCAAACATTTACAGGTTTGTAAGTGCTACAGCTAGCGTTTCATCAGTGCACCAGAAAAAACAGCATATGAAACTCGGAAGCCTTCTTTCCAGTATGAATGTAAATATTGTTTCAGTTCTTATAAAGGAGACTTTTTTTTAAATTAGTACAATGGATTTTATTTATGGTTTATGTTCCCTTTCAATTTAGACACAATGCATTGAAAAGGTAAATGTTTTCTGGCTGTTTAATTTATTTTTATTGTTTGAGCAGGAAGTAAGCATAGTTATTTCTGACAAGGTTTTACTTTTTGTAGTTTTTCAAGCAATAGACTGTAAAAGTAAAAATGTTAATCACACTGACACTAGAAAATGAACTCCCCGTCTCACAAACCCAGGAGGCCCCTGTCTCTACCCCTTCTGTCTTTATGTTCAGGGGTTTTTTGTTTGTTTTGTTAGTCATTTGCAAATTAGTTGAACCTTTTTGTGTATTTTTTACAGAATTCCATGTGCCTTTCTTCCTAGTGGCCTTATCTTTGTTACTAAAGCACAGTGGCAGGAGGAATAAAAACACTGACTTGCAAATATCCGTCCTCAGGGCCAAATCATGATGCCTTACTTCTGCAAGTAGACCCGCTGACTTCAGTGCCCCTGCTTGCATGAGTAAGAAGAGTTTTAAGTCTTTCAGTCATCATGGGTGACATTTGCTAGCAGTGCAGAGAGCCAAAGATAGGTCCTTCTGCACCATGTCAGCAGGGCAGGAGGAGTCCAGAGAGGCACCATGGGCAGAGCCATCATGCCAAGGGGGGAGGTCTTGGCTCCAGCCTCGGGCAGCTGAGCAGGAAACACTGGATGGGTAGGCCAGGGAAGGGAGCCCCATGTCTACATGGATTCATTGGCCAAAAAGCCCATGTGGGAGGGCTTCAGCTGCTCTTCAGGCAGGCAGGCCTCCATCCAGGAGTGCACTCAAGTGTGCATTTATATAATCTTCCAGAAGAAGCAGTGTGGGGGCTGATGGTGGGAACTGCAGCTGCCCAAAGGGCTCGTGGGAGCAGCCATGGTCTCAGCTTGGCTGGTGGTGTGTCTCCTCTCCTTTCGCATCTTGGTGCTTCGCTGGGGACGCAGAAGCAGGCAGGCCGTGGGCAGGTCGAACAGATCTTACCTTTCCTCCAGAGGAATTTTTGTAGCATGGAAAAGCACATCCTTAAGCTTTAAAATAAGAATGCAGATGTATGAAAATGACATGCTGTTAATCATTGTGGTTTTGTTTTATTATTTTTTATTCTAATGTGAATATATACGGTAACTAAAGCATGTATTCATCTTCGTCAGGGGCCTGGTCTGAAGTTTTTGGAAGGCAATGAAAAATGTTTTCATAAGCTTCTGTGGGTTCTGAATCAGGCTCAGGACAAAACAAGATCACTGTAAAGGACAAAAAAACACCTGCAAGGAAAAAGAATAGATAGGTAGTGCATCCCAGTCTGTTTCTGTCTTCGTTGTTAACTGGTTCTGTGAAAAGCCTTTGAGGAATGTTTTTTTTCTGTGCACCATAAGCATGGCATAGGTATCCTCACTATTGTTTTGCACTATATTGAATGCAGTGTGCAAGGTATTCTGTGGAACCTTGAGTCTGAGCTCTGTTGGTAAGCACTGCAGTCCATGCTGCAAGCCAGAGCCAAGGGCTGCAGGGAAAAGTACAGGGAAGGGGAAGAGCAAGTGTTCAAGGGGTGCACTGTGCAGCTGTACTGAGTCACCGATTCTCTGCAAACAGAAACAGCCCATTAGCAGTTGGCTGTCCCCACGTGCTCCCAAGCAAAAAGAGTGTTTAAGGCAAGTGCTTTAAAGTGGAGATTATCACAAGCAGAACAGGGAGCTGTATTTTCCCCTGGCACAACTTCCCTTGACATTCAGGGGATCTCCACGTGAGCAGGGACCCAGATAGGCCAGAGTTCTCCTCTCTGCTCTGCTTGTTTATCTGTTTGCTGGGTTCCAGCATGAGCAATCTGTTTCCCACCTCTTCACACGTAAAACTAAGGTGATGATGATGACAATAACAGTAGCTGCTTTGCGTGAATTTATGCAACTGTTTGGAAAATTTGAAGGACCGTGTATCATTGTCATGTTAATGGAGAGCATATGCGTGGCTCTGAAGGGCTTGTTTCTGGCTTAATGTTTGGTCTGTGAAGCTCAGACTATATTTGGAGGCAAGCTAGAGAGTATTTCAGAGCAATAAGTTGTTAATGTGATCTGGTCTTGTAACTGAAATGACTGTGGTATTCCGCCAGTACCTGTTACTTTTATTATTTTATTTTTTTTTCCTCCTTTGCATTTGTTGTGTTACTGAGCCTCTGAATCCCATGGCTTCGCAGCACAGTTGACATGAAAACTGTGTATGTTGTTACAGTGATGCACGTTTTGGAGTGTTTGGTACTTCTAATAGGAGACTTCCCACTCTTCAGTGGGAGTAGAGGATGTACATAAAAGCTGTGGTTTGGGGCAAAGTAAGATTGTTCTATTCTAGTCTTCCAGATACCAAGTAACTTATTATTAAGTTTTACTTTTTCTTTCTCCCAGTGAAAATAGGTGTCATTCCCTCCAGATTAAGGTAGTTACAACCTCATGTTTTCTGCAGGTACATATGCACAATATAAAGACTCATTGCACGGTACAGTGTTTTTAAAATAGATACTTAAATAGTAGTTTTACTCCTACTGTAAAATAAGGGTCAGTTTATTATGTGGCCCTCAAGCAAGCAGGTTAACTGCTCTAAGTAGACAGTACACAAAGCCCCTAAAAGCATCTGGGGCTGGATCTTTAGCTGCTGTAAATAACGCATTGCTCCACTGATCCCCAAACTGAGGATTTTACGTGGTGTTTAGGAGGTATGGATGCTCATCACCCACACACATAAATGGCAGTGAGTGTCCAAGCTCCACAGACAGTCCTTATTAACACATTCTGTTGTTTAAATGGAAGGTATGTCTATCTGGCATATGTATTCCTTCTCTTCCCTTACTCCCTCCCTCTCTGTTACAAACGAGAATAAAGAATCATTTCAGCTTTATACATGTTTGCAATTTGTAAGTCCACTGGAAATCTTACAGGAAACATTGCCAATTTCTACTACTTACCTGGTCCCAGATTCAGCTTTGAAAAAGACGCTTAAAGTTTAAGCAAATGCTACAAAACATGGTGTTAGAAAACCCTTTGCTCTTTACTACTTCTAATTAAAGCTGCCTCTGTTTCACCCAGAGTTTTGCAGAGAGCCAGAAATAACTTAAATTGGGCGCTCTTTCTGGACTATTTGCAGCATTATTCCTGTGGTCTTACCTAAAAGGACATTTCAGCCACATAAATCACAGACAGCTATTGGCCAAGTCCTCAGCTGGGCTAAACTAGCACAGTTCCTTTGACTTTAATGTTCTTTCACACCAGCTGAGAATATGGTCCATTCATTTCACTGGGGTTGGATCAGGGATGGATTTGACCCAGTATATGGTGGCAGTATGAACCAGTGCACAAGACTGACACTCAGTTATAACTGAATGATCATGGTCTATCAAAGCAATATACCTCTTTCATTTACTGCTTTACCCTACGTGTGGATTCAGGAAGGTGCATTCAGAAAGGTACTTCACCCAAAAATAAGGCTGGAACCATCTTTATTGTTATTACTGTCAGTCCCAGATTAATTAAAATAATGGACAGATTCTTACTTCAAATCCTGCAAATTCACCTCAATAACTGTTTTCAGTTAAATAAAGCAGGGCAGAATTTGGCCAGTGTGCACAGGAACCAGTGCCTGTGCATCTTAGCAAGGGCAGATGAACAACCAGGAAGGTGCATCCCTCCATTTTCATATGAAATATGTGTGCAGGACTCCGGGGCATGAGTGCTTGTGATCGAGAAGCATCTCATAAAGAATAGTAATTTCATAACTCTGGAAACAAAGGTAATGGCATTTTGCAAGCAAGGAGACCTGAAGTTTTTCTGTATCTCCTAGCAGTTATTGTCTTGAAGGATATTTTATACCTTACTTGTATGTTTCATATAGTTTAAAAGTAGCTTCTTAAATTTCTGAACTCAAGGAAGGGGTGAATCTTCTGACTTTCAGGATTCACATTCAGAGGATGTTTGTTCTTCTGCTGCATGTGCTGTTTGTCCAGAACTAACTAGTTATTTCTGCGATATGGGTTTATTGTGCCTTACAACAAATATAAAATTTAAGCGGAATGTACGCATTAGAGGAGGGAATAATCAGAAGACTTTACTGCAGTTAGGTGATGCCACCCCAGAGTGTGTCATCAAACATATCTGTGCTTAATTACCCAACCAAAGAGATCTAAAGTATGTATGTTTGTTGTACTGTAATAGGGGTTTGTGCCTGGACAATTAAGTGTTTTATTTGTATTCTGAGATGATGTGAACTTATTTTTCTAAACACTATACTGAATAAACTTTATATTTATACACACCTTGTGTAAATATTTCTGTTTGCCTACAATGTGGGGGGTTTGAGCTGGGTATTAGAAAATCAGTCTGAGGTAGAGATGGTTTTTAACAACTCATTGTGAATGTGATGGCCACTAGAAATATCTGCTCACCAGGAAGTTGGTCAAAAGTCTACTTAAGCTGGAATGAGATTTTCTGTTGAGTGGGTTTTGGCAAAGCCTAACTTTGCTTCTAAAATACTAAATTAAAAAACATGAATTTTACATTTTATATCAAACCTAGTTACTAAATCTGTGTCCTAAACCAAATTTATACTATAATTAGATAGATAATATTGAAATATGTTTCCACCTACTAGTTAGGACGAGTCAATATTTACTCACTGCTTCTATGGCATTGGGATACTTTCTATGTCAGGGTTTCTTCTGGCATAAATAAATTCCTATCTGCTGGATTTGTGTTGTTTGAAAAAATTCTTTAAAACATTGCATTTGGTATCAGACTTGGTTTTGACAGCCTTCTGAGAACAGCCTGAAGTTTCATGTTCCCTCAATATTAAAGGATTTAAACACATTACTACATTACTTTAGATCTGTGCTCCAACTACTAGGATTGCCTGGTTACGGTTTTGGTGCCAAAATGAGTAACAGAAAGTTCAAGCACATGAACCTGTACATATGTACTGTACATTTACAGCAGAGATACTTATTAGCCTGCACATGCCACCCTTTCACCCCTTAAATTGTATTTAGGCCATAAGAAGCAAGATCAGGTCTGTGAGATCAATTTTTTAAAATAGTCGGATCCAGTTGTGTATGCCAATTACATTTTTAATCACTTAAGACATTACCTTTCTGTACCATTATTCACCCTTCCTCCGTCTTTCCCAGTTAACGCAGCCACGTTCTGGTGCCTCCATGCAGCACTGCCGACAGGTGGCAAAGTGCAGGAAGCAGCCCCCAGCCCTGGGAACATCGCTTACCTCTTGCCTGGGGTTGACCCAGCTCACACTCTGCAGCTGCCAAGGTAAATCCAGTTAAGCGGGAGCAGCCCTAAGGTAGAGAGAGACAATTGCCTCATTGCCCAACTCCTTTTCCTTCCCAGAAGCAGCACTCATGACTCAGTCCTGTTCATAGCACTTCCCTTTGCAACACTTCGGTTTTGCCCCAGCAGTAGGACTGGTATTTTCTTACCCTGCAGATACCAAATTCCCAGTCAACCCCTGAACAGCAGCGCTGTCCTGGCTTTGCTCGGAGCAGGGGCTGAAGGTCTAAAGCCATCCTTCAATCTGCAGGCAGCTGCTTCTCTCATTTCTGCCCCATGATGCAGCCAGGGGGAGAACTGCCCCTGCTGGGTCAACTCCACCTGGAAGAGATCCTCTCCAGGATGGGGGTTCCTGTGCAGCCCTGTGTGCTCCACCAGACAAAGTGCAGGGGTTTGAGGGCAACCAAGAAGTGGAAAGTCTCAGTGTATGCAAATGTCAAAATTCTCCCTGAGCAGCCACCCATGCAGTATGCAGGATGAATCATGTCCTAACGGAGCACATTCCTGCTACTTTGGAGAGCTTTGCAGATGTGTTCCAGGTCACCCTGGGCGAGAAAACCACACACAGCCACGGTTACTTCTTCCCTGATGGCTTATGTGCAGATGGAGAAAAAGGGAACAACACCTTTGGAAGTGTGGTCAGCCAGCTTGCCAACCCCCTGCCTTCCACACAGGGCCCGGGGATGCTGGAGAGAGGACCAGGGACTGCCACAGCAGTAGCTGGGTTAAAGCTGGTAATAGACTCAGTGAGACTGATCTAGCAGGGGTATGAGCTGGGAAGGGAGACAGTGTTGGAAGACTGAAGTTTTTATTGTCTGTTTCTGGCTGGATTTTCCCCAGTGCCAGATCAGAAGGGAATTTTTCAGCTCCAAGAGGCAGAGGTTGAGTCAGTAAAACAAGATCTCAACAGAAGTACTCACAGCTTGGAAAGCAGAGGTCTCCTTGCAGGGCTACATCCCCTGTTGTGGTGATCTCTGGCTGCAGAAATCTTTGGGCTGGAGTCTTAGGCCATTATATCTCAGTTATGGATACAGATCACATTTTTAATATAAAAATACATTTTAGAAGGAAAATGATTCCCAGAAATAGGAGTTCATCTGCCAAACGTTGTGTGCATAACTGACTTTACACTTAGAAGTGCCAGAAAGTTCAGGAATGAGACCAACAATAAAAAGCCAACACACGTGTGAAAAATCTACTACATTAAAGCCAGATTCAATAAAAATAGCACCTAGTTTATATGCTACAGAAGCTGGCACACGCCTGCAAATGCTGAAGGAAAAAGATAAAATGTTCAGAAGTTGCAAGCAGTCCACAGGAACTGAGCAGCTCTTGAGCAGAGCTGATAGTTACTCAATAACTCATGTACAATATTCTCTTGGGTAAGTACTTTAATTCTTCATCCTGCTACTTCTCAGGCAGAAAGACCCAATTTGGAATACTTCGGGCTAATCAATAAGCTTTGTTGTCGCAGCCAAAGTGCTTTGCAATAGATCTTTTATTACCCAAAAGGACTCCAGAATGTTACACCGCACCATTTTCTTTTCTACTCTGCAAGCTGACAGCCAATTATTTCAGTGTTAGTGGTATCCCTTATACTGCTTGCAGCTGTAAAATGCAGCCCATCCCCTGAGGAGCTTACAGTACACAGAAATAAAAGCAACCCGAGCTGGGAGGGGAGAGGAGGGCAGGGAGAAGAGGTGGTTTGCCGGGAACGGGGGTGCTGGCTGTGGTGGCAGAGGCAGAGGACAAAGCCAGGTCTCTGACTCCCCCTGTTGCTTTGCCCACTGGCTCACTCCGCCTCATCAGGAGCCAAATCCGGCTCGGATGCAATGCCCTCTGACAGCAGCAGGAGGACTTGTTGCTTATGCCAAAGCCGAGTTTGCTTCTTTCAGTTATTTACTACGTCTACAGCCACCTTCTGATGCCGACCAATAGCCGCATAAGCATCTAGCTAAGCCCTGTCAATAACTAGACCGGCCCTGGACCAGGATCCCTGAGCTGGCAAACACTCAGGCTTCAGAGAAACCATTCCTGCCTGAATCACACAAGGAAGGTGATGCCCACATGGACCCTGAAGGCCTCTAAAGCCACACAGTTCCAGATCAAGGCAATTCAAGAAAGGTTCAACCCACCTCCCACAAAGTACAAGGAGCTGACAGAGATACGTTCACAGGAAGTGAGGGTGGGTTAGTCCAGAGCCTGAGCTGTGCATATACTCTTGGCAGGCCCTAGCCAGTGGTGTCTTAAAATAACAAATCAAGAACAAATGCCAAACTAAGAGCCTACCCATGTCCTAGGAAGATGCTGGGGATTTTGCTATATACTGCTGCCTAAGCAAACAAGCGCATGTAGATTTATCAGAAGGCAGTTCTAAAAGGCAACACTTTCTATTACCAGCCCAGGCACATCTGCAATGCCACACAAACATATAGGCTGTCTGTGTTAAAAACCATTGTCTGACGTGCTGTATGCATGCAGGTGGAAGCGAGCACTGACCAGATTAAGGATGAAAAAAAAAAAAAAAAAAATTATTTCTTTCAAGGCTCACTATAGAGCTGCAGAAGAGACAACCTCTGCTCCCTCTTGCAGGCAACATATAGAATCATAGAATAGTTAGGGTTGGAAAGGACCTTAAGATCATCTAGTTCCAACACCCCTGCCATGGGCAGAGACAACTCACACTAAACCATGTCACCCAAGACTCCGTCCTGCCTGGCCTAGAACTCTGACAGGGATAGAGCATTCACAACTTCCTTGGGCAGCCTGTTCCAGTCCCTCACCACCCTAACAGTAAAGAACTTCTTCCTTATATCTAACCTGAACGTCTCCTGTTTAAGTTTGAACCCATTATCCATTATCCTATTTCTACAGTTCCTGATGAAGAGTCTCTCTCCAGCATCCTTGTAGGCCCCCTTCAGATATTGGAAGGCTGCTGTGTCTCCACGTAGCCTAAATAGAAGCAGGTCCCAAAACTCAGCGAGTGAACCAGGCCGAGGGTGAAGACCCCCAGACAGGTGCAGATTCCTGGCCTGCTGCTGAAGTGCAAGAGCACACTGTGCCCTTGCTCAGAGCTTGTGGCAGAATGGCAGCAGGGGTTAACTGCCCTATCAGTACCACGCTTGGAGGAGAAGCCTGCTTGAGCAATATCAGTAATAGAGCTGCACACTCTAAGAGTGTGATATTATCTGCATGTGGAGGGATTTACGCATGTAACACCCCTATGTAGGGAATGATATTAGCTTCCTGAAGGCTGCAATAGCCCTTCTCCTCCTTTTGCCCAGAAATGGAATAATGTTCTCCCAGGAGCTTCTAAACATTGTGCTGTTTCTGCACCTCTGCATGGTGGGACACAGGACTTCCAAAATCAACAGTACCTGGAAGCGGGTGCTGACAGCAACCTATTTCCAGGTATCACTTTAACAAGAAGAGCCCACACTGCCTGGAAGTGCTCCCTGCAGCATGGGACATGGTGCACATACTGGGCATGGCTGCCTTGCACCAGCCAGCAGTGCTGCAGGATGCCTGTTCTCAGGACAAAGATCGGGGCGTGACAGCCAGCCCTCCACAGGCTCGGCCAGGGAAACACTGACAATTTACTGGCATGGTACAGAGGTGTCAGGCGGACATTTGGCACTTCCTACGCACAGCATCAGAGCTGCAGTCTCAGTAAACCCCTTCTGACCCCTTCAGAAATCTGAGTCTTTATAATTTGGGTTACAAAAGCAAGACTTCTTCAAGTGAACAATGCTCACAAGGAACAAGGAAGTCATTTGCTGATGGGGTGGAGGACTAAACCCTCAAATTAAAGTACAGTGTAGAGCCTATTTTTGTTAATTTCTTAACTATTCTCAAATCTTAGAATCTTTTTTTAAAGCCATAATACATTAAATATCCCTGTGAAATAAGCAGCTGCTAACAGAGACTCAAAGACTGGAAGGCTATACTGGAGCCACCCAAAACTAAACAGCACTCCTG